CCTGAATAGTTGCTTAAATAAGACTGGGTGAAGTTTGGTGATAAAGATATGTCTCTTTCATGTTGTTTATATTCGTGGCATTTTGTTACACAATAAGAGTCTGCGGTCTTCCATGCCAGACCTCTAGATTTTTTCAAAATTTTCTGGAGTTGTACACTGGTACCCAGGACCTCCAATTTTAGCAGCACCCATGTTTATTTTTCTCTGGGTTTTTCAACAACCATGTTTGGTTACCATCATACCTTTGCAGTAGGCATTTCTTAGCATGTCTGCAATGGGAAAATTGGCCAACATTGCGTTTTCCCCCAGCAGTATGCCTCCTGATCAGTTACTAAGATTACTCCTTCTGAGGTGCTACAATCTCTTTTCTCTGTAATACTTGTGACCCTTCTGCCCTTATCCTGCTTATATTCACCTTCTCTACTCAGGGACTTTCACTGTTCTTCATTTCTTTTATTTGTTTTTCATTCTGAATAGTTAATATTTGAGGTTCATTTCACTGCTGTGTGATTTTTTCAGTTTAATAAGACAAATAGTATAAAGCTTGTCAGGTACACAAGATTACTTTACTCTTGGAACATCTGCCTGTGCTGTGGTCAACACATACTGTGCCATGGGTCAGTCCAAGAACAAAATTCTGTGGCCATAACAATATATGCAAAGTAGCAATGGGCAATACTCAAAGTTGTCTCCAATAAATCCACACAAAAAATAAGAAGACACTGGAACTTCTGCAACTTTGTAAGGAAAGATTATGAAGGATGTGAAATAGGATGAGGGTAGCATAGATCACTCGTGATAGATAGAGGCACAGGAATAACTAGGAGTAAAGAAGAGTATCATTTTCCCCTGTGACAAAGCTCTTCATAAAAATATCATGAATCAAACAATGACAATTAAAAGCCTTGATCCCCTCAATTTTTACCTTAGACCAAGGGTAAGTATTATGGAAGAGCTCTGTATGGAGATGACTGTGCTTTCTGCTTTCTTTTCCTTATGATTTTGGAGGGTATCATTTCAAAGATATCAGCAAATAGGAAATAACTTTGTGATTGGCATTTCCTGTATGGCACTCAGAAATATTATGCACTGTCTTCCTACACAGTTATTTTTCTTTTTTTTTTAAATTTTATTGAGTTTATTGGTACATTTTAGGGATACAGTACAGTTACATTCATTGTTGGGATCATGTACCTTTACATGGCAAGTCTTGATTCTCATTTTTTCCCCTTACCTCTGCCCTCCCTTCACCCCCTCCTCCCCTCCCCATCTACAAACACTATTTTCATCTTTTCATTCTCTCACATTTTTTTCTTTTCCCTTTTTGTTCTTCCCCTACGCATCACACCTTCCCTACACCTTTAGCTCCTTTCTTCAAATTTCTAAATGTCAGCAATCTTATTAGAATCTTATGCATTGTTGCAGAATATTCACACTAGGGAACACAGTTATTTTTCAAGTAGCACAGATAGGCAAGATAATGGGAAAAGCCTTGAATATTATGGCTATGAAGAAAATGTACACCTTACAATAAATAAGGAAGAGTGTGGACATCTTTCCTATCTGTACGAATAATTCAATTCACTCACTCTACTTGAAGGTTTCCTGTGAGCTACAGAAGCTTGCGTTTCTAAGTCAAAATATCTCCACAAATATAAGGTATACACTGTATTAACAGTGATCTGGGTGACTGTGAGAAGGGAATTACATTTTTTTCTTCACAAAGAGAGAGGAATGTGGAAGGGTTTGGCACTGAAAACACTGGATGTGTGTGCAGCAGAGATAAACCAATATCTGGCAGCATCATGCACCTCTGCTGATCACAGAAAACCATCTGCAAGAAACTTCACCAGGATGGTGACATCGCCGGTGACACAATTTTATCTCCTCATAGAGCAGAAGACTTTCTAATAAAGTTAATCCATGTCCCACAACTTGTCTGGTGTCTGTGTGAGCTACAGGTCTTACATTGTTTGTGTGTTTCCAGAGAAAGCTTCTGAAAGGGATGGTGGTGCGAGGCATGCTGAGTCAGGAATGAGTGAGCCTTGCCGTGGAGGTATGTGGTGCTCCTCACAACTGGGTTCTTCCTTAGGTGGTAAGGGGCTGTGTCCTTCTGTTCCAAAGCCTTTGGGTCATACTAGACTTTCTGCTTGTCCTGGGCTGGAAAAGATCACCCTACATTTCCAGTGGTCCCAACTTCAGGCTACCAGTTCCCTTAACGCTTCTGTATAAAACTGTCTTAATACATATTTCCTTTCTATTCTCTTCTCTCTTCTCTCAATGTAGGAACTTGAGTCAAAAGAGGTCTGGAGACCATGATCTGAACTGCAGTTCCCCCATGTTTGTTGTTTCCATGCATTTCTTAGGCCATGTTTGCAGTACATGATTGCATTCCTTGTGCAGAGCTGTCAGATGCACATAACCCACCTTCCCTCCTTTCCTCATCCCTCCCTCCCTCCCTCTCTCCCTTGCCTTAACCCATCTTTTGATCCCCTTCCCCTTTCAGAAAGATCTATCTCCAAACTTCCTACTAGCTATCTTTTATTTTGCTCATTCTTTCTAGTTTGAATTTATTATACAAGAGAAACCATGGGATATTTAAGCTGTGTGTCTGACATGTTTCACTTAATATTGTGGCTTCATGGTGCATCTTTTTTCCTACAAATGACTCAAATTTATGCTTCTATGTGACAGAATAGTACTCCATTTAGTATACATACCACATTTGTTTAAGCATTTCTTTTCATGGACATTTGTGATGTTTCCAAGATTTAGTTCTTATGAATTGTTTTGCTCTGAAAACAAAAGTGATTTTAAAGCAGAAATCAAGGAAATGTAATTTTGATATATAAGTTTTTATGTGTAATAAAGAATGTGCCACAGTGAGTTCATTTTTGCTTTGAATGTGAATTAGTGTTGAATAACTGGGGAGTAGAATGCATAATCACCTATATGTGTTATGTCCTGATTAACCATACCTATCAAAAAGAAAGAAAATGTAATAGCACTTATTTCAATCTTATTATAATGTTGTGTTAATATGTGTAACCGGAAAAAATTTTTAAACATTTTACTATGTTTGTGTTTTGGGAAAGGGAACAACAGATTTGGTGGGGGGGTGGATTGTTGAACTGTGATGGATCAAAGTATGAAGAAAGTCAGAGTATCACAGGTAATTCAGTATGAAGAGGTAGCCCTGAGAGCCACAAATGATTATATTCATTTGGATCCATGTGTAATTCCCTAATCTAAATACCAGCTTATACATGTTCATGACTTTTATTTCTGAACTTATCATTAAAAAATTAATGATACTTTCTGTTCTCTTAGCATTGCTAAAAATCAAAGGCATTACTGTGACATTCTCTAAAAGAAGCAGCAAATGTGTAATATTACAAAAATATTCATATTTCTAATTCTGTAGGAGTATATCATCCTACTAAATTAGATTATATCAATACGCTACACATGTTGAGAATTTTGTTCATTATGTACTCTAAAATGGAACAGTGTAGAAGTATGAGGAAGAATATCTAGCTTCTTATCAAATAGAAGTGCATATGAGATTGAATCTGCATTATGATGAAGCTAGAAAAGGTTTCACTACCCATGTTTAAGGTTAGAATGGTCCATGATTTAAAGAAACAGAAAACTCATTGCTGAAGGATACTGAAATCATCCCTGATAGGACTGTTGTATGTGTAATTTCTGTAAGTGGATCATGAAAATAATAGAGCAGGTGTCCCTGATCAGATGGGCGTGGCACAGGGACAATGGACATATGGTACTTGAGGGATCTGTGTGACCGGGTATAGTGTGTGCTGGACAGGTGGAGTTTTATCAAGAGAAGCCAGAGTGAGAGAGCGTGTAAGTCACTGTAGGGATTAGGAAGACAATGTTTCATTTCCTAAACTTACTGAACCTTGAAGCAAGGGACAAAACAGAAATACTAATATCAGATACAACTTAAAAAATCTTTCCATAAATAAAAGAGTTCTTTTGCAGCAAAACTAATAAGATATTTCATTCCATGTCTCTCTGGGATAGAAAAACCAAGGTTAATGGTTAGTGTCCATTGATTTTAAGCTCTATCCTGGAAATAGTAATCATCATTTCAAGACATAAAACACTTTAATTCATTCTAGAACCTTTAGATTCCCCTTGGAGCATGTGTACATTACTTACACACCCATTCAGGCAATTTTATATAACAGAGTGTTCTGTTCTTGACTGGCCAAAAAATAATGCTGAATGTGTGTTAAATGTCAAGATCTCCCCAGCATTGCTGAAGCAATAGTGCAGTCTAATCTCTAACACTTTTCATAACACTGTACTTTTCTATATTTGTATGCATGAAAACCTTCTACACAAAGAAAGCCTTTCTTTGATCTGATGTTCCATAATGACATGCCTGCAGTCAGCAAGGGTAGCACTTATTAAGAAAAGCTGCTGCCTGCCTCACAAGAGCAAGGACCTGAGTTTGATCCCCGGTATCTCCCCAAAAAAACTCAACATTCAAAAATATTTTCTTTAGGGGCCGGGATTTGGCTCAGTGGATCTGCTGCCTGCCTTGCAAGCTTAAGTACCAAAAACAAACAAACAAAGACACATAATTGAAACAATTACACAACCTAATCTCTAGCATGTGTCACAATATCTAAATTTACTTGGATATTTTCATGCATGGAAACATTGTTTGGAATCAGAGATCGTTCCTTGATGTTATTTTTCAGAACTAAACAACTTCAGACATCAACACAATCACAGCTTGTGAAAACCAACATTATCAGCAACATCACTATGGACCTTTCAGACATGGAAACCAGCCATCCAGAGGATCTACACCGTGTGCATATTGCCTTGAGTAAAGTGTGGTATTGTATAGGGGTGAGCTTTATTTGAGGGTCTTATTTGAGGTGTTTTCTGTTCTCCTAAATTTGTTCTAAGTCGGGTGAATACATCACCCAATAGTTTGGTGTGGCAATGGAAACACACCTGTGAGAGTCTACTGACTTTTTAAACATAAAGAAAATATACATACCTGTGATGTATGGAAATTACCAATACTGTTCTTTTGGAAATGTGGAACATTAACCTAGGCATTAATCTTTAGAGAATTTCCCTGGTAAGGGAGTCCAGATTTATCAGAACCTCCTTGCTGGTGAGTAAGTGTTCCTTATACCTATTCCTCCTACCTGAAATATACTTTTTCCTTCTCTAGGTGCTCCAACTGACCTTTGGTGTGGCACTAAATGTCCTATGGACAGTAGTTATCTCCAATTTTTCTCATTATGAACTTTCTACGATACAGTTGCATCCTGTATTGCCCTATGTGTACCTTCTGGTGCCACTCATCGTGAGTACATATAAACAGTATGTAGTCCTGTACTGCTTCAGATGCAAATGTAACCCTGAGGAATGCTTGCGTGCATTGATTACGAACGCAGAGTTTGGGGAAGAACATTGGGAAACACTCAGTCTTAGTCAAAGTGAGTACAGGTGATGTATTTCTAGACTAATCAACTGACCCTCACCTTTATACAGTACATCACATCAGGAATTCTGACCATTGTGACTGAAAAGACAGAGAGCACCAATGGGGTGAGTTTCCCTGTCATTTAGAAAATGTACAACTCACAAGACCTGTATCGCCTCAACATGCACGATTAACAGCCCAACACTTCTCAGGCTTTAATCTGCCATGAGGCCCCGAAGTGATTGCTTCCCAGCACCGAGGATCATTTGTGTACTTCTGGCCCACAAGTGTAAACGCACGTGCAGTGCATAGAACCTTTTGTATTATTTTACAGATTTCAATTTTGCTTGTATTTTAAGAGAGTACATGCACATCCACACTTGTGCAGTGATATACCAGTCTCCAGAGGGCATGAGTGAGGACTCAGTTTTCTTTCTCTCTTGCAGATTCTCACCTGCATGTATACAAATTTTGTGAGCTGTCTGGCTGCAGTGGCCTTAACAATAATGCATGGTGCCAGTGTGTTTGCATTGGCAGGGACGATGAGTATATTCGCTGCAGATATCACATCTGTAAGTGTTCACAGATCCACGTGTGCCATTTCTTGGCCCTTATCCATCTGTGCAAAGTAACTTGTAGGCTTGTACACAGAGAAGGCCAAAGACGGACACTAAGTGAATAATTTCATTTGTGCAACAAGATTTTCATTTCTGAGAACATCAGGTAATGCTAAATAATCCTCTATTTAGGGTGAAATAAATGGCAGCCAGGAATACATCTAATAATTTTTGTTCCATCATCTTTAAAGTAAAAAGATAGCAATTCAAGGATTCTATTCCACTCAGAACTGATTTGGAAAACCCAGCTTCCTTTTGTAGTCAGTCTCTGATATCCCCCAACTCAGGCTGACACACGAGCCCCACGATGCTCATTCATTTCTGTGAGACGTAAATGGCTTCTCATGTAGTCTCAGATTCAGAAATTTCAATAAAGCTGGTTTCAGAGCTCAGCAGACTTCTGGATCTTGGTTATAACAGGAAACAAACTGGCTAAGGACAGCTCATTTCATTCACCTGATTTCAGATGCTGAGACTGCGCCTTTGAGAACACAGTCAGAGAGAGATGACATTTACATGGAACGGGTGGAGCATTTTTCCCACAGTTTTTCCATGAGTAAATGTGACTGAAAGTGTGCCTGTGCCCGAAACATCTCTTCAGAGTTCTTGCATTTTTCTCTCCCTCATGGCTCTGTGGTTGTGAAGTTCATCCTCACACTGTTTGAGTGCATCTTCCCTGGGATTCTGCTTCTAATTTCCAGCTAGGAAGAGTTATGAAAATTTCCCTGAGTAAGTGTTTCCTATCTTGAGGGCTAGGGACAATCTCTGCCACTTCGTAGATCCGAGATGTTTATTTAAGGGTAAAGAGCATGTTTCTAAACTGCTATTTCGTACTATTGGTCTGAGTTTAGAACCCCTACTGCTTGGCAGTCACACATGAGACTAGGCTGGACAAGCGGTGGGGAGCTCAGGGACGGGGTGTAATTCTGTATCAGAGAGAAGGAAAAGTAAAACCCAGGGGCCGTGAGGAGACCCAGCAAGCCGGCTGCAATCCCACGTCCTGATTTGCGGCCTCTCTTCATTCCCCGCAACAGATGCTCAGCTGATGACTGCAGGAGCCTGAACTCTCCACATCCGCGTACGATGGACGTTGAGATGGACTGGTGTCCCTCCGCATTGCGTGGTTTGACAAAAGGCCTTCATGTGCTCTCCTGGTCTTTCCCATTGCATCGTCCAGGAGATCCCCGTCTATCTAGTACAGAGGAGCTGAAGCCTTTCAAGAAAAATTATTGTCATTGATTTGTCGCTGTTGACTTCTCTGTGGTTCCTACTCTACCCCCAGTATGAACACCTTTGAGGACAGGGACAGACACTCCCGAGGTCACACATCCTGCTTACGTAAAACAGAAACATATCAGGAAGCTCGTAGGTGTTGCAGGACTCAGGTCTGTCCCTGAGAGTGTAATTCAGGACTCATGATTCATATAAATTCTTGGGAACACCATTCATTGTAATTGTTGAAATTATACTACACAATGTTTTAACCAAGCGTGGTGGCATATGCCTGTGATTACACCACTCTGGAGGCTGAGTCAGGAGGATCTCAAGTTTCAGCCCAGCTTAGGTAATTTAAGCATTTAGGAATAATGAGTATCAAAATTTGTTTTAAAAAATGCTTGAAAGGAGTGAATACATAGTTCAGTTGAAGGCCCTGTGTCCAATACCCAATACGACAAAAAGACAAAGTCAATCACAGAGTACCACAATAAAGTATGATCAGTGGTAAAGCACTGAGGTCCATATATACAGTGAAATGATTACTACTACTAAGCAAATCCATATCCTTTCCCCCACATTTTTTTTTTAAACACCAGAGCATCTGAAGTCAAATCTTCTGGGAAATTTCCAGCTTGTAGTGCCACATTGCCAACTCTAGTTCCCATGCTCAGGTTTCTAGACTATGAACCCTGAAAATTTTCACCTTTGCATCATTTCAGATACATCTGAACTACACATCTTTGGAGACCATCATTCTCCTCTCCATTTCTGTTTTTATCTTTAGGATCCACATATACATGAAGTCACACAGTGTCTGTCTGTGTGTACCATCTCACTCGGCATGATGTTTACCACTTTCATCCAAGCTGTCACAAATGCTGGCGTTTTTTTTCTTTTGTGCTGTGGAAAAATATTCCATGGTATATGTGCAAAAATCTTATTCGTCTCTTCATGGTGGACGCTCGTGTTCTTTCTCTATGCTGAATATCGTTGATAATGCGGCTTTGGACATTGAATGATGACATCTATACTAGGTGCTGCCTTCATTTCTTTCAGTATAGGTAGAAGAGTAATAGCTGAGCAATACGAGTTTTATTTTAAATTTTCTTATATAATTTTCATGCTATTTCTCATGATGCTTGCACAAATTTACACATCACTATATAACAGATGTTTATTTTTCCTCACAGCCTTCTCAGGGCTTGTCAATTTCTGATCTTTGCTAATAAAATGCTACATCCAAGCAGTTGTGAGCCCACGGCTCATTGTGGAATTTACATTGTACTACTGATTAGCCTTCTTGAAAATCTTTTTTTTAATTCTTATTGACTACCAGGATTCATCTGTTACCAAAAAAAATATTCTAGTCCTTTGATACTTTTAAAGTGAATCTTTTTCTGTCATTTAGTTTTTGAGATATCTATGTGGGCTTTTCCTTAAGCCTCTGTGTGATATATTTCCAGTAAATATTTTTTCCAAAATTTTTATTTCAATTTCTGGAACGTGATCTCTGTTGTGTGCTGTCGTTGGGGACATGAATGGCAGCCAGGCAGTAGGAATGTAATTCTGCCAATGAGTAGAGGGCTGAAGCTCTCACAGGCAAGCAGTAGCCAAATCTCACCAACCTCGGTTTTTATTAGATACATGCACAATACTTGCATGAGAATAAACAGTTGGCTCCTTACAGATTATCTCAGGCAAAGCATTAGAAAATATTTTTATGAACACCTGGTTCCAGTTATTCATATACTTTCTCAAAACAGAGAAATGTTATCAGATGGTTCTCAGGAGTGTTTGCAGCCTTGACCTTCTGAGTCGTGGCTCCATGTGTGGAACCATGACTACAGTTCCTATTCCAGTCCAGGTCCTCACGTAACCTTCTCCTCAACAGCTGTGCAGAGCTCTGTAGCCTCGTGAAATATCACTGGATTACCTTGGATCTTACTTATTGCATGGGCTTTAGATTTGACATCCAAAATGTCAAAGTCAAATCTAATCAAGAAAATGTCTCACATTCATTCTGGGACTTCCATGATTTCAGTGGTATGTTTAGGTTGTTAATCTATGTTAGGTTCACTTTTGTAGCAGGAGTCACTAATGTCTGGTTTTGAAACAGCAAGAGGGATTTATCCATGTGAGTCAAGGTTGTTTCCATGTGGGCAGCCAATGATACTGAACACATCAGGAGAGTGAGACATGAAACAAACACACGCTCACCTCAAAAGGTGCACAAAGAACATTTCACAGGATTCCCTATGCTTTTTTAATAGGAAATGAAAATAATTAGGCACATAAGGATATTTTCCAGCCTAATAGACTATATATAAAAAAACCTTAGAAGCCCAGTTAATATCCTTTTCAGTGGGAAAACTAAACCTTTATAAACTGGTAGAAAGCCAGGCCCATTGTCACCACTCATGTTCACCCAAATTTAGATATAGGGGGAAGTGCAGTCAGAGAGGAACAAATAAAGAGCAAAACAGCATCCAAACAACGAATGGAGTGACAGTACTGGCCCTATTCACCCATCACATTAGCCTACAAGTGGAATCCCCCAAAAGCTATAAAATACTTTCAAGCTAACAGATCAATGTGGCAAAGTGACAGGACAGGAAATTAGAAGCTGATTGCATTACTTTATTTCAGTAATGATCTATGTGCAAAGGAAATCAAGAAAACAACCCCTCTATTATAGCACCACAATTAGTAAGAGAGATAAGAAAAAATTCCACGCATTTGGAGAAAAGTCTATACATCGAAGACTCAAACATTGCAGAAAAAATTATACAAGACATAAAAAATGGAAAGGCTTCTCATATGCATGAGTTTAAATTCTTGATAGTTAAATTTCTCTACTATTCATTCTGATACAGAGATAGAAATATCTTCTATCAAAGTCTCAGTGGCCCTTTCCAAACAGGAAAAATATGTCTAAAATGTGTATGAAATCACAGCACACTCCCGATCGTTAAAGCAGTCCTTAAATAGACCATCAAGATCTGAGGTGTGACATTTGTGACTTCAAATACACTACAGACTGATATTAAACACCCTAGTATGAAAATTTCATAAAAACAGATACAGGCATCAATGGGACCGACAGAGCTTCAGCCATCAATGTGAAAAGATTTCATCTTCCTGGATAAGGTACATCTAATTTAAAAGATTTTAAACACGGGGTCCTTAATTTCTGTCCTTAGGATATAATGAATTTTCTGTAGTCTTCATTGTATGATCACCTGCAGAGCCCGCAATACTGATGATGCCCAAACACGCTGTACACAGCGTGGGCAGCATAGTTAAATCCCCCCACTGGCTCGCCTAAAGAACCGAGTCTGGCTGAAGCCCCGTGACGCACAGAGTACCTCCGGAGCACCAAGCACCGAGCACTGAGCACTGCCGGAGCGAGCAGAGTAACAGGCACACACAGCCGCAGGGCTGACCCGAGATAACATCACAGCTGAGGCCGGAGGAATCGCACCCAGACTGCACCCCCACAATCGGTGGCTTCACGGCTCAAAGGACAGTGCTCCAATTACAGCCATATATTTTGTCTGTTCTGTTCCTAATCTGAAAATGCTTTAGCTGCTCTTTAAAGCCTTGCCTGCATTCGTTTCCATGCTAACTTCACCTACTACTTCGTCTATACACCTATTGCACCTTCACCCTGGCTGATGAATAATAAAATTTGGTGGAAGAGACGGGCCAGTGCCTTTTGCCAAAGGAGCACTGGCCGTCCCAGTTCACATTTTTTCTTTAACTCCATCTTAGGTTTTTTCTTCAACCCTGTGTCATGCACTGAGCAGGTGGGTACTACAGCCTCACTACAGCCGTCTCTGGCAATCACCAGTTGTGGTTTTACACTGTCAGAATCCTTTAGAAATGACCCCAAAAGCACAGTGTAGCAGATTCTAGTTTGTTTTTCCTTAATAAGAAAATGCAGAATTTTTCTTTTGCAGAAATGACTCCCCAGCCTGGTCCTCCTCCCTTCCCTCTGTGGCCCTGACACCAGCTGCAACTGTAGCATCATACACTGCATGATACAGAAAATGTTACCATCTTATTTCTTCTCTATCTGAGCGTTATGGACAGACAGCCCCGAGTCAGCACACACATTGCCTGTCTCAGTAAACAAACCAGGACCTCAGGAGCCTCTCACGGCTGGTCAGTGCCAGGCTGTGGGGCGCCATGTGCAATAGCTGCAGTCCCTAGAAATTAGGGCATTCCTGAGTTAACTGCTGCCGTGTTCCAGTTAGCAATGGCAGATTCGCTGTAGGTTTAAATTTTAGATCCTTCATTAAAAGCTGCCAAAACAAAAACAAACAGACTTTTTAAAAATTCTGCATGCAGCCTAAGAAGTTGCTCTTTTCCAAGAAAGGCAACTCCACTACACAGGAGATCTAAGATTCACGTTTTGTACCATGGAGAGTTACTGACCACCACTGAGTTTCAGAAGCGATTAAGTGTTAAAGGGATTATGTTTTTTTAGAAAACATAAAATAGGAAAATTTGCGCAGTACAATTCTCAAAAACTCAGAATGAGCTTACAGTGTGCTTACTGCTCAAGGTGAATAAATTTCCTATTGATCTTAGGGGTAAAAAATAATAATCTCACCCCTCGAATGGTGTAGGAAGTTCTCACCACACAAAAGGGGTCCAGCTGTGATAGCCAGCCCAACTCCATCTTGCGCCTTGAGGTCGGTTTGTACCTGCTCTGGATCAAAGTGCTTTCACTTGAACAGAGCACCCCAAATCCCCACATCCCGTTTGGCAGTAAACTTGCTGCAGTTGCTGGATGTTTTGTAGCTCACCTAGTGTGTGTGAAACTTCCTTGTGCCCCCACTAACCTGGCCGGGTTCTGCTTCTGTAAGATTTCACTTGCTCTCCCCTGAGCCCCCTCCAATTTAAAGCATGATTTAAAAGGAGAAATCAAACTGCTTCCCACTGCTGAGAAAACTTCTGGGCACTAGCCACCCTTGGCCACCGGCCATCATAAAGGGCTTGAGTCTCTATTGTTCAAACTCTCTCACCCATAACAAAACTGGGTAAACACAGATTGCAGTGATTTGTTATGTCAGTGCATTGATGTTTCAGAGTTCTATTATTACAAATAGCAGGGCTAATTTTACAGGTATGGATAATATTAGTGACCTAGAATTTGGAAGGCTTTTGCCGATAAGAAAATGAAGATGTGGTCCCTGTATGACTTACTTTTTTTTTTTTTTTTTGGT